GTTAAATCATTTAAAAAACACTTATTCATTAGCTATTCAAACAAATCTTTTTATTCCCAGACTGATGTGAAAAAGAGAGCAATTACAAAGTTTTTGCAATCTTTATGATTCACTGTGTTTGTCTTGTTTTTGTTGCCTACAAAGTATTTTTTTTATTTGCTTTTCTCATTCATGCTTGGAGTTTTACACTGATGCCTTGAGAGTGACTTGTCAAATGCAGCTTTTACTTTTTGGTCAGCGCGTTCTCAGGCCTGCATGTGTGAATTAGACGGTTTGTGCATGTGCGTCGAGGCGTCTATAGTTTTTGAGAAATCCATCAAAGCTTATCATTATAAGTAAACATGACAGAGTGGACAAAATGTCTTGTGCGCCGCCAGACCTGCTATCTAACCACAGGCCATATCTGCGATGATGGACTGATGTGGCGCTGGCTCGGACTAACCAGAGTCTGAGTGTGAGAGTGGGAGTGCATGTATGACATACACACACAGGAGAACACACACATCAAAAGGCTACGCATAGCTCATGTTACCTTATATCTTTTTTTGCCTCTCAAAGGAATATTACCTTTGCCGTACATGAAAACTTGACTTATCGCACAGTCACAAATGGGCAGACTTAGTCATAACTCATATAGGAATTTATAGCTGTTATTTATTGGCCGGTGTTTACTGGGGCTCATAGTTTTATACCTATAAGCTGAGCAGAGACAGCAATTTTTCTTCCAGATACTGATCGTTACTGTGCAGGACGAGCCTCTTTTTATGGCAGATGAGATCAGAGGAGAGTTAAGGAGATTTATTAGTAATGCTAGCTAATAGTTCATGATCTCTGCTCATTATTGTGGTTTCACTATGTGTTAGAACACAGACAGCTGCTCCCACAACTAACAGTATGTCAAGGAAGGTCATTAAAAATCCTAAATCATTTGTAAAATTCACAATTTCAGTTTTCAGAGCTTTTTTTGTTTGTTTTTTCATTTGCCCAAGGTAAGGTTTCTTGCATTTGTTTGCGTGTGTGCGCAAGTGCTGAGGTCAACCTGTGTGTTCCTCTAGTTGTTACAACACCACTGATAAGCAGAGTAAACAACCATGCACTGTTTGCTCCCCTGCCACGGTCACATGATCGAGAACTCTGATGACAGAGAGAGTGTGTATGTATGTGTGACTGGAAGGGGTAATATTCTGTTTTGCCCCCATCTTTCCTTAAAGTTTCAGGCACTGTCTGCACCGTATTAAAGGTGTAGCTCCTGTGCTGTCTGGATGGCTAGCTTTAAGAACCAAGACCCCAGCTTTGATAACCTTTCCCCTGCTGTTCAGTTCCCGGGTCGAAGGTCATGGCTGCAGAGCCTCAGCTGACTTGGCAGATTGACAGTAGGTGTAGTGGCACTGGATGGTATACAGTATAGTGCGGTTTTAAGCCATATCTCCATCACCCGCATTCTCCTCTTTGTCTTTGCTTACTGGACTTTGTTGGTGGCTAGTATGTGTGCAAGCAGAGGCTGCATGTGTGTGTTTGTCTGTGTGAGGGGTCATTAACCTCATAGTAGCCTATAGGTGGTCTTTCAATCACTCTGGACTGTCCTAGACCACCAAAGGAGTGGTGAGTGCCTCAATTACATCTAAACAACTTGCAATGACTCATACAATGTTATCATTATTATTTTAATTATAATATTTCAGCTCTATCGGTCTATAGATTACCCCGCCTAACACTGGCTTGTACCATTGATTATAAATCCATTACCAATGTGTTACCACTTCCTAGAGATAACCAAGTCAAAATACAAAAGTATCTGCTAAAGTCTATTAATTGTTGCAGTAAAACTTAAATTATCTTAAAGACTAATTGTAAAATAAGCAGTTTGTCTGTGTATCCTGCTGTGCTTAAACCTGAGCTTGTATAGCTAGCTGGAAGAATGAGTAATTATGCTAAGCTAAGCTGACAAGCCACATAGGCACTAGCTTCATAATTACAATTACAAACAGAATAATTTCATTTAAAAGGTGGCTTTAGTACTTTTTTAACCACTAGGCTGTTGGTAACATGTGTTTGCTACTGTTTGCTCGCCTTTAAATCAAACATCCTCACTGCTAACAGGTCTGGCAAACATTTGCTTCAGTAATAATTTGGCTAGGTAACTTTTAAACTTAGCAGATAATGGGACAAAATATTAATTAATCAACATAAAATATATTTAAAAATTGCAATATAATAACTCAAAAAATTTTTTAATTACATATCTCTAAATTTAGACTTAGACATAACAGGAAATTCCAAGATACTCAGCCAAGAAGTCAGAATTTCAAGTTATGTACCTCGAAATAACTCAAAATTTAGAGTTACACATCTTGACATTTTATGTTGAAATTTCAGGTTGCATACCTTGAAATTAGAATTTAATAATGCAAATTTTTCAGTTGCACATTCCAAAATTTAAACTTACTCAGTAGAAACTAAGTTACATTTTTTAGATATGGATCTTAAATTTGTAACTTCTTCAGCTGTAACTGGATACTAAGTCAGTAACTGAAAGTTTTGAAATAGCTAACTCAAATTTTTTGAATAAAGCAAAAACTGTCACATTCATGAGCTTTGTTTCAGCAGACTCTTGGAAGAAAAGTCATGATATCTTCCTCATTCTGAGCATTTTTTGTGTCAGCCTCATGTAAATCTGTCAAAGCTGTTAGCTGCTTGTATAGGGGACCCTAAATTATACTTACACAGCATTTTTTTTAGCTTCCTAACTAACAGCTAATTGGTTTATGGTACAACAATGTCAGCATTCTTACATCTTCCCATAAACTTCAAGATAAAAATTCACATTTTTTTACACACTTAAGATCATTATATTACACGCCACACACATCTCCATCAGTTATCATTTGTGTGACATATCCTTTTCCCAGTGTTTAGGTTTTGTGTCTTCTTGATGCTATGCCGTACTTGACATTATCAGCGGCTGTAGTCTAAGCTAGAAGTGTGACGTCCAAGCAAAATGATTCAAAATCGCTCCAAGGCCTGCGCTGGTTCCGACCTTTGTGCCTACAACTGTTTGAAAAGATAGAAGCAAGATATTATCTTTGTTTTCTCTGACTTTGTAAAACAGTGCACAACAAATCTGTTTAATTTTAACCCCACACACATGAACCTTAACATATACCATGCCCTAACAATGTGCCCATCCTCAGAGATTGTGTATTTTTGTATGTATGTGTGTGTGTAACTTTAAAGTAATTTTAACTTTAAGAAAGCACACACTGTAATAATACCAAGCTGTTTGCTGACTCTGATGTAAGAGTACCGTAAAAATTCTAATATCAGAGGCTGAAATGAAACTACCTGTCTACTGTACAGATCTTATATGACTGTATGGACAGAATTAGACTTGTATTATAGCTCTGTCTGTGAAGCACATCTTGAAAACATTACTCTGTAAAGAGTCAAAAGTTTACTTCTGGACATCCTTGGCTTTTTTAGTGCTTAAAATTCTGACAGTATGCTTGTGAGTCTTCTTCCATTTTGCTTTCTTTCTCTCTTTTGATTCGACATCAGGAAAGAAAAAGAGAGAAAACAAGAGACATAGATGTTAATCCATCATTTAAAAAGTAGGAATATTAAGAGAAAGATTCCAATCAGAAAGCCTCATTCATAGACAGTGTATACGCAGATGGTGGGCAATATTTTGAGCTGTACTATATCTGAGTCACAAGAAGCTTTTGATGGCCCTGCAAGGGGACGATGATACCCAGAGCCACAGGGTCCCTGCCAACACAAATCCTGCTCCCCTCCACCCCCCACAATCCTTTGCTTCTGAGAAGAGGAGGGGGTGGAAGTAGATGAGTGGGTTGATGAGAGGCTGAACAGGCCGGAGGAGGGACACACAGGCGCCATGGCGATCCCTAAGACAACTTATCTCGTCTCTCACAATGATAGCGCCTGTCAAAATAACTGCCAAGATACACAGCCAGGCAGGAACTGGTCAACTCACAGGCCGTCCAATCATGAGGGCCTTCTCGCTGGGGTCCCACCTTAGAGGGCTCTCTGGGACCACAAGCAAACGTTATCTCTGTCTCATTGCTCACTAATAACTCAGACAGGTTGGGTTTAACTTGGCAAAAGCTTTATTGTGGGAATGGCAGGAAACAAAGCAATTAAGTTTAAAACCAAATGTACGTTGAATCAAATACCAATATGTCTGAGAAATTAATATAGGTTGAAGACACCTTGAACATTGATAGTGACTTTGATGTAAAATGAAGACAAATTAAACCTTAGGGAAGACATTGTTTTAGTCTGTAAGAATTTTTATAATATGATACTATATAGCTGCCATTTTCCTACTTTTGAAGACTTGTGCCATTTATTGTGAAGTGTCGCCACCTAGTGGCACAGTTTCTAGTGGGTGGCAAAATAAAATGTACATCTCCTGCAATTACAGGCATTAGAGACGTCTGTGAAAGTATTTTTGCTCTAACAAGAGAAGGATCCCCTTTCCATGTATATTATAAAGAAAGATTACATTATCTGTGTAACCAATACACGAAACAAATTATACTGGAACGTTAAGTTTTCTTTAGAGAAAACGAAAAGTATCTGTTCCCTGACCGGGAATCGAACCCGGGCCGCGGCGGTGAGAGCGCCGAATCCTAACCACTAGACCACCAGGGAGAGATAGCAACTGCTGAAGGTCTGTACTTTTTGTCGTCAACACGGTATCATGATTCGAGGTAGTTATGATAATATACGGACAGACAACCTAGTCTCCAGCCTAGTTAAATATTGCTAACACAACTTACCAAGAGCCAATTGGAGGTGAGCTGTCTGTGCTATATGTATACATATATATTGTTTTTTATGTTTTCCACTGGTTGTATATTGTTTTCTTTTCTTTACTTTTGCACCTTTGTGGTCCAGCTACCCAATTTCGCTGTGCAAGAAACCGCACAATGACAATAAAAAGCTCCAAGTCTCTCTAAGTCTAAGCTTTACCGCGCACGCGACACAAGAGGGCGTTGTAAGTGGGAGGAGGCGTTTCCATGTTGGAGGATGCATACAAGGTGTGTGGGAAATTTTAGGTACCTGTTTTTATGTCAAATATAAGCGTTTCGAGGCGTCGTTGCAAATCCGTGCTTGGCGTGAGAGGTTTATCTGGATGCATGAACAGGTATGCGCTATTTTAAGAAAGCGAATTTGCTTAATGAACGACAAATATATTCTTATTCTCACCACCAGGTTGCTATTGTCTTGTAAACAAAGTGGCTAACTAGCATCGTTAGCATCAGCTGTCTTGTCAGCTGGAGCACCTTTCACTTCTCCCGCGTTTGTTTGTTTGGTTTAAGCACATCAGGGATATCTTTTCTCGTTGTTGCACTGTAAAAAGAGGCCGAAAGCTGTCGAGCGGAACCATTTATGGAGGATTTCAAATCATGCAGGCTGCTAAAAACTGAGAATGTGGCTAAATGGGATCGTAACGTTGCTTCGGATTGAGCTTTCCCTCAGTGGTTAGCCTCTCACCTGTTATGTAACGCCTTTAGGCTACACGTGGATGAACTGCTATACGTAAACGCTAAACTGTGCTACATACTACAAATATTAGTTTCGCTTTTATTTAACTCCACGGCGTTGAAGCTAGCCGGTAACTTGATACAACCATAATGCTTTGACTATTTACATCAGCTGCTGAGAATAGACTTTATATTAAGTAGTAAAACAACCGTTTACAGTGTTTCCGTTAACCAGATGCAGGTGTGATTGTGTTTTGTAGCCGAGCGCTCCATTTTCCACCCTCTTCGGGTTATTGTCAGCTGACTGAGCTGACATGCCTATTATGGGATGCTTTCATCGCCATCCACTTTAAGCTGATGGGGCTTCGCGATCGGTTATTGGGCTCTTGCAGTACACTGAGCGTTGCTGAATGAAGAGATTAATCCGGTTTCTTCTTCACTCTGCAGGACAAGAAAGACGTGTGAGAGGTGATCTTCGCAGCCTTGTGTCTCCGCGCTTGGATACACACACTGCGTACGGATGTAAGAAGGTGGTTGTTTGTATGGATGCACGTAAATACATGCAGATTTAGGACCCTGGCCTGATGGAAAAGAGAGACAGGAAGCCTGGATATTTTGCCAGGTAAGGGACTCTAGTTTCTATGCAGCTGTCATCTTAAGATATGCATTTATTTTTTACCTCCTAAAATCGACCTCTCATTTGTTGTGAATCACCATGTTTGGTGCTCAATGAGTCGATGTAATTATGTAATGTTTTTTTGCTGAACAATAATGATTTACCAATAGTTAATCACTACAAAGAAGCACACCCATCCCTTTGTGTTTAAAGGCTCAGGGAACAGAAGCTATGACAATCTTTACGTGAGAATGATAGGTTGAAGGTGTTGGAAACTTTCAAATCTGTGAAAAATCTTAATGAGAAAATAGTTTCTTTAATCCCCTCTTTGTGCATTTAATGTAACTTAACTAATATCTTTATTTTTCCTCTTTGTTTTATTGTCGAGGTTGTCTTTTGGAAGGCATGTGATCGTGAGATGTCCCTTCACACACTGAATAAACTAGTGCCACGGTCTACTCTGTGGCCTGGATTTAAAGCTGTGGCTTAGCATGGTTGATTGATTGTAGACACCTGTGCCCTTGCTGGAGTAATGAACCTTGCTCAGCTGGTATGTACTGTGCTGTGAAGAAGGCACAAGCTGGTGCTCTTGGAAATTTTTAATGGTTCAGTTCAGTCATAGAAATCCAATAAAGATAATGTAACTCTGATTTCCAGCTGCACGGTTTTTATTCTAAGATTCTCCCAGGGTAGCTCTGCATGATTCATATGTCAATATAACCCTTATTTATCTCATACTGGGCTTTGGTGCAGTTACTACTTTCTTTGAGACCACCCTCCTTTAAAGCCGGCTTTTGCATGATTGGAAAGTTGGAGAAGCAGCTGCTCATAGCCAGAAAGGCACCCCAGAGGTGATCATGTTAGGGTATTGTATGTGTTCCTTGATATCGCAGAGTACCTGAGTCAAACAATATTTTTAAAAAATAAATGTTTTTTTGCTATGATGCACTCCTACAGCCCAGCCGTCTCTCTAACATGATGCCATCTATCACTACAAATCACTGTGCTCCTCTATTTCAGTGTAAACACAGCAATGAAAGGCATTTTAATTATGTTGTGGATTTAGCTATACAAGCTATCATGTGATGCTTTTTTTTTTTTTTTTTTTTTTTTTTTTTTTATTTTCTTGTGAGGATAAACTAGTGGTTCTCAAACTTTACAAGGATATAAGTTGATCTGAAGCAGCTACTGATTTTTTTCTTTTAGAATTTATTTA